AATTGCGAGGCAAAAGGTTTAAATATGAAAAAAGTCTAAATTAGGCATCTCATCTTGGCGCTGTAGCAACGATGTTGTGTAATTTTGTTGTGCAAGATCTTTTCACTGTGGTTTCGATCGGAGCTGCCAAGCCATTGATGTAAGCCTGGAGTTAATTGTATTATGCTCTACATTACTTTCACACATTGTTATTTAGGCTGGCCTCATTCTAACATCGCACCACCTTGCCGAATTTCACCATCAGTTTGGCAAGAATACCTATGAGTTTAGCGAGTGTAGCACAAGTGCATCTCTAGGAACCCAGAAAAGAAAGAGTCCGCTCCATGTATGCAACACCCATTCGATACGAAACGTATTGATCAGAACGTATTTTTTTACATGGAGATTTATTAGGCCTCAACCAGTAAGAGAGCATGCGGTGCGAAGGTTGCTGCTACCTACAAAAATTTCATTTTTTGCGGAGGGGGAAATTCCGCGGTGCGTGACCATTCGCTTTCGTCCCTACGTCCACTCCGGAGCTTCCCTCCCTCGCGGACAATGGGATCGCCTTGGGGATGTGAATTGTCGTGCCACATGCTAGTCTTACTGGATGAATCCGAGATTTAAATACCCACTTCAAGGCTGACGATGAGGATGCCAATTTTGAAGCAGAGGTGACATGTGACGTCGCAATGTGTACCGAGCCTGCTCCCACCAATGATGCTGATAATGAGACAGTGCCCCAAGCATCCAGTGATGGGAGTGAAACTGGAGAATCGGTTCGATGTGTTCGACTGAGAGTCTCTGGAACGGCACCCATTGTGGATTACATCTGTACAGCATGCTCTCCTTTCAAGAAACGATTCGAGGGACAAGAAAGAGCGGTTGCACCATCTGCGGGAAAAATCATTCAAAGGGAACATACGGGCTGCGGTGGCGGCGATTACAATGGGGACCAGATCTGTGGTACGTTAGCAAGCTTCTTTGTACATGCGAATAATCCAAGAAGAGGTTTATAGAGACTGCAACGATGGGCTAAGGAGGCTCAAATCGCTTTTTTCGGCTAGACTTTCTACTACAAAATGTTCTCATTAACCGCTCCTGCCATTGAACGCGTGTACATGTCACATCAGCAGTCGGTCCTATCGATTATCAGAGATGGAGAACAAGGTACACGCGCATAATTATCTTTACGCAAAGGGAGCGTGACATCCGTTGTATTGTTTTTCTTATAGAGACGCAAGATGCAATTGCGGCTTAAACGTCGCTGCAGATGGATCGTATGATAGCAGGGGCTTCAGCGCGAAAATTGGGAAAGTCTTGGTTGCAGATTTGCAGACGAAATTGGTAATGCACTGTGAAGTGCTGGATAGGTCGAAGTGCGGTCAGTCTTTCAACTTTGAGTGGGTCACATTCTACTGTCGCCTTTTATATAGACGACCAAAGACCGAGAATAGAAATCGAAGGTTTGAGGCGGGCGTTGCACTGTTTATATATGCAAGGTTTTCACATAAGCTCCCTCACGAAAGACAGAAGCAGAAGCTTCCAGGGAGTACTGGAGGAAGTGAAGAGGGTGCATTGTACCTCATTTGATCACGTTCATGGATTGCATATAATCAAGTGGTTAGGAAAAGAATTGCGGAAGGTACAAAGCAAACAACTAGAATTTACCGTGTTTGTACAATTTTCTTCTTCAGGAGTCCCGTAGATGTGGATGTGGCGCCATAAGCGGGTGGATAGAAAAAACTAAAAATCATCTTTGGGACTGTATAGAGCACGGCACTTTAGGAGAAGACGTGAGGCACAGGTTCAATGGGTGTTTGAATGCATATTAGAGACGTGCATAATTGGGAGGAGGTTGTTGACGCTCTAGTGATTATCTCTTTATAGAACTTTACAGTTACTTGCGAATTGCAGAATCATCTAATCATCAAGAGGATCTTGCGAGAGTGGGACAACATGGAGGAACGTCTGTGTGTGAAACAAAATTCGCTCTTGACCGTCTTTACTGCAACAAGGATACCTTCTAGTGAGTCCATAGTTTTAACACTAAGATCGTGACTGTAATGAGGAGTGTCGCGAATCGCGAGATCGCTCCCCAAGGTTTTCCCCCGGGCGTGTTGGTTCCTACCGTAGTCAGCCACCTTGACCACCTGCCTTTGCTCTATACATCGATTATGCGGGAAACCGCGGCCACCAAGTGGCATCGATGATGGCATCGCCAGTCGACTTTCTACAACATCGTCTGTGCGGTTGCCCGCCCGTAGCCTTGCTACCGGCTCCCACTTCGTCAGTCAGTGCGTCTCTCCCTGCCGGCCCAACTAACTAGTTCAGCCGGCCCTACTAACGTCCCTAACGGCCTTGCCGTTCCGCTCTCGGAGAGACTTCGGCCCCGTCGCCCAGGCTGGTCCCGGTGTGGCTGCTACTTAGGGCACGAGCCCTTAGAACCTATTCAATATTCACTATTCCGTCGCACTCAGGACGACGACGAAGAAACTCCCTTGGCTGGTCCCGGACCAACCGGACCAGGCGACGTAGGCAACATGCCCCACGGCGGAGAGGTTTGACGTACTTTTATTCCACGTAGGAATACTAACACCTTAACTAATTGTGCTTAGTTCAGTAAGTAATATAAACTTGAATTACTATGGTGTTCTGTCAGTGTAGCAATGTGATTTCACACACATGTCTCTAATGTGCTGGTAGTAGGATATGAGCCAGACGATGCCAGCGCTCGAAGTGACTAAGACCAGGAAGTGCGTAGTGGCTAGGTTAGTTCAGCGGTCCCTTGGGAGTCGGGAGGCAGCGTGGCGTAGACGGCCAAGTAGGGGGAGGGAAGAACCAACTTAGGAGTAGCTTTAAAGTGCACACAGCTCTCCTCGCCAGCTACTCCTGGTGCAGGACGCCTCCGATTCGCAACATGGTGCATCGGCCGTTGGCATTCGGATCCGTTCGCCTATCGATTATCCGATCAATAATCGATAAGGCGGTAAAAACGGCGCTACCACCCGTCCGCGCCAGGGGCAGCACCCCTCCCCCCTACTAGGACACGATCAATGTAGCCTCACGCCATGGATAGTTCAGAACTTGCGCATCGACTAAGGGTCATCTGTCCAATACCTCTCGGATGATTCAGTCGGCTTAGACTGTGGCAACTAAGCCAACTCAACATCCATGCGTAATGTTACTTGCATCTCACAAGTTGATGCCTACCAGGGAGGTGGAGGACCCAATACTTAGGCAACTCGAAATATTGAGACTGTAGTAGTGGCTGATGGCAGACAGAGCCTGCGCCTTAAATAGCAGTTGTGCGTAGAAATTGCGGCAACTGCTGGCCTGTACTATCGAGCAAGGTGAGGTACTACAGGTGGACCGCAGTTCTTATTCGGTGAAACATCCGGATAAGATGAGCAGCATGGGTCGACCAGCACGCTAAGTAAGTCCCTGAGGTATAAAAGGGCGCACCAACAGGGAGAGGCCTCTCATCTCTGCTACCATGCGGATTGGCCGTCCGATGAGGTAGCAGGGTGCGGTGTTATGCGGAATGTGGGCTGCTTGCTTGACGGCGGCTATGACACTCGGCGGTTCCAGTGTTACCCGTCGGGAAGACATCCCTTCCCCCCTGAGGCGCTACAGTCAAACTATTTCGACCACAGTATGCAAAGTTCAGTACTCCAGCGAAGACCTCATAAGAGGTTACATAGTTCAGATTCAACAGCATACTACTGCCATAGTTCAGCAAATGCCCCCACTCCCAAGATAGGTACGATCAAAGGGTAGCCACTCAATGCACCACGTATACACTTCACATATCCCCCAGCACAGTAAGGACAGCTACACTGACCGCACTATAAGCAAACTGATCTTAGTTCAGCAAAGAAGTCGAAGATAGTTCAGCTTAGCCACAAATAGTTCAGCCTGGCCACAACTCAGCTTGGCCATAGTTCAGCCATAATTCACTTACCGACTTCTTACTAACTCATAACGCATTTATCGATCATTCATAACCCGTTTTCAACTATTTAATTCATGATCGATTTCATTACTTATTTCTTTGCGTTATGCTTTCTTAACATTCATGTTAATACCGCTCCGCTCGTTAACAATACGTCGCAAACACGAGTCAAACCTAGTAGTATATACTTCCAATGGCCATTCTAGGTTAAACTCGACCTTGGGAGTCTTAGTGAAATATTGACAGCTATGGCAACATCCGGTCACATCAAGGGCCAGCTTACGAAAGCCACGAACGCGCTGAAGGCAAGAATCTCTCTAGTCCAGGAGATTCTGGTCAACAACCGCGCTGACGAGGTGAAAGCCGAGCAAGGCCCCCTTAGTCCAGCAGAAGTTAAACAACTTCTAGTAACATCGGCGACCGCATTAGTTCATCTCATGGAGACCCTACAAGGGAAGTGGACTAGTGCCGAAAACTACGCGAAAGGTGTAACAACCGAGGCTGAGCGTTTCGCCCTGCTCCAAGAGTTTGCTGACCACTGGGACAGCATTAGAGCGGACGAAGCACTCATCAACGCGAAAGCACTAGTCAGGTCGATAGAAGAACAGTTACGAGACCTTACCAAAACCCCGGTCACTCCCTTGAAGGTAGTCGACGTCTCCGATAGTTCAGCTTCTAGTTCAGAACTGTTGGTTCACGTGCCTAAGTTGGAGCTTCCGGACTTCTATGGAGAGCCCAGCGCCTTTCCTGAGTTTTGGGAACTCTATCTAGCCGCGATACATAACAATCCTAGTATTCCAGCCGCGGTAAAGTTCCTACACCTCAAGAGCAAACTCAAGGGAAAAGCAAAAGACCTAATCGCCTCCATAGAACTGTCCCCTAACAACTACTTGGAAGCAGTCAACCTACTTCTTAGCACGTTCAATCGGCCAGACGTTCTTCGGAATAAACTGTTTGAGCAGTTGGAGGCCCTAAGTCCAGCGTCCGAGTCGCCTATTGCACAACGTACCACCTTGTGCAAAATCAAAGCGATATGGATGCAATTGAGAAATCTTAAAGAACAGCCAGGAGCCACTGGGACGATGCGGATCATTCGAGCCAAATTTCCCCACTCTACAAGACAGAGAGTTGGAGAAATGAGGCAACGAGACGATCATTGGACGGTGGAAGAACTACTTCAGGCTTTCGACCGAGTAATCGATCGACTTGAAGTAATGGAAGACACCGACCCAATGACGGAAGTGACATCATACACGTCCGCAGTGCATACTCCTCGAATTAGTTCAGCTAGTGGCCCCAGAAGAACGCACCAGTATAGGCCAACCAACAGACATAGTTCAGCTTCGAGTCCTCAGCGACACAGATCCCCGCAGAGACATGAGACCAGCTCAAACGAACCTCGCTGCGTGTTCTGTGTCATGAAAGGACACGACCCCACACAGTGCAGAGAAGTCGGGACAGTGCACGCACGTAGAACATTGGCCGCAGAGTTACAACTCTGCTGGAAATGTCTAAATCGAGGACATCAAAGCGTGGACTGTAACGCACCTCACTGCAATACGTGTGGAGGAGGACATCACAGCGCGCTCTGCTACAGAAGGAGGAATACGTATCGAAGTCCAAGTAGATCCAATAGTCCAGCACGTAGCCGCTTCGGTAGCACAGAGCGCTATGATTCCAACTATTACAGATCTAGTTCAGGAGATAGATCCAGAAGGATCTCTCGCTCACCTAGTCCAGCTCGTAGGGGTAGGTCCCCAGTCGTGCGTCAGAACACGACCCGTAGAAGTTCACCCCACCCTAGGGTAGACTTCAAGACCTCACCCACTACACACACTTACTCTAGTCCAGCGTGGATGCATCAAACCCAAGATGCAGACTATTCCACAGACGGCTCTGAGTCGAGGTCATCATGCGAGTCTCACGAAGACGTGTTCCTAACAAACACAGTTCAACTGGTGGAAACACCACTTGAACCAGTAGTGAGCAGTACAGCTAACCGCATGAGCAGTTCTCTCCTCATGATAGCCCGAGCACTAACAAAAAATCATATCACAAAGACTGAGCAAGTACTTACGATTCTCCTCGATAGCGGATCCCAGCATAGCTATATCAAAGAAGACATAGCTAAAGCTTTGGGATTGAAGCTAAGGCAACCAAAGGATATAACAACTATAGCCTTTGGAGGCCATGCTCAAACAGAAACATCGTATCGAGTTAGAATTGTACTACACAATGAGACAGATGGGAGACCGACACGTCTCAACCTATGGACACGCAAAGTCCATAACCTCTGTCCCGCACAGCTCGTCGTTTAGTTCAGCAGAGGACTCTACAGTCCCACCGTATAACAGCAAAGACCGTAAAGAGGTCGACATCCTGATAGGAATGGACCATTACTGGGACGTAGTTGAGATAAATTCCAATCGCCTACTCCCCTCTGGTTTAGTCCAGTCTAACACAACACTTGGTCCCGTCTTATCAGGATTGCAGTCGTCATCGAGTTCCACTGTAGTTCATAGTTCAGAGTCAGCATCAGCTCCGCCCGACGTTGAATCCATCAACGAAACGGAGCGCATAGTACGTCAACTTCTCGGGCTTGAAACACTAGCCATGAAGGACGAAGTGGACGAGACAGATGCTGACATAGTCCAGCACTTTTATAACACAGTGAAAATCGTTGACGGCTTAGTTCATGTCGAGTTCCCTTGGAAAAAAGAGCATCCCCCGCTAGCAGATAACAAAGCCCTGGCGATTCGTAGACTTGAATCTCAGTACCACAAGCTCCACCATAACAAAGATGTGTGGAAACAGTACTGCGATACCTTCGAACAACAACTCAAGCAAGGTATCATAGAAGAAGTCCACGAACAGTCGCCCTCGAAAAATCCAACATACTACATCCCACATCAGGCAGTCTTTAAAGAAGACAGCGCTACCACAAAATTACGAATTGTCTTCGATGCGTCCAGCCACATGAGAGGCGTACCAAGCCTCAACGATTGTGTGCATCAAGGACCATCACTTCTACCGGACCTATGTGGGACCCTTTTGCGAGCACGCCTTACTCCAATACTGATCATAGCGGACGTCGAAAAAGCGTTCCATCAAATCCGTTTACACGAAAATCAGCGGGACGCTACAAGGTTCCTCTGGTGAAGGACCCGTCACGAGGTCCCTCCAAAGGAAACATCCGTACGCTACGATTCACACGTATTCCGTTTGGCGTGAACGCATCCCCCTATCTGCTAAGCATGTCAATCAAATATGCTCTTGAAAGGGACAAAAATAGTTCAGTTCATGAAGAAATTCTTGCAAACACGTACGTCGATAATGTCCTCATCGGCGCAACATCGGCCAGTGAAGGCATTTCGAAACAAAAAACATGCAAGAATATCTTCAAAAATATGGGTATGAACCTTCGAGAGTTCATGTCCAACAATAAGCAGATCATGGAGTCCATCCCAGAGAAGGATCGCATGAAAAAGATTAAGGCCTCAGTCAAACTCCTCGGTCTCAAGTGGAACACAGAGGCAGATGTACTACAGATCCCTATAAAAATTGCTTCAAAATCTGTAGTAACAAAAAGGTCAGCCCTAAAGGCATTCGCATCTACCTTTGATCCACTTGGACTACTTAGTCCACTAATGATTAAGGCCAAGATCTTCATCCAGGACTTGTGGTTAAGCAAGCTTGGATGGGACGATCCCCTGGACGACACCACATTACTTCAGTGGTCTGCTATCATAAACAGCATTATCGGCTTCGCTGGAAGTGTCCCACGCTACATTGGACTTCCCCAGCGCGTCAAGTACGATATGGCAATTTTTTCAGATGCATCACAAAGGGCATATGCCGCAGCCGCATACCTGGTATGCAGGCCCCCGCATATGAAACCTTTCAGCAACTTGATCTTCTCCAAGACCAAGTTAGCCACACCTGGAAAAATTACCATACCAAGGCTCGAGCTACTAGGCATAACCCTAGCCACTAAAATAGTTCAGTTTCTAATACAGCAACTAACCATAACACCTAGTTCAGTTCAACTGCTGACCGATTCGCAGATAGCGTTGTATTGGATTCACTCCAATAAGCAGTTGAAAACATTCACTAACAATAGGGTTAGAGCCATAAAAGAAGTACTTGATGAACTTACCAAAGCCGGTATCTCACACCAATTCTTTTATGTTAATACAGAAAATAATCCAGCGGACTGTGCAACCCGAGGCATTTCTGCCGCGGAGATAAAAGACCACATCTGGTGGCACGGTCCTCAATTTCTCACTAGTCCAGCAAGTCGTTGGCCGAACGCAGATTTTGACTTCACCGCAAAACCCCCTCGCACAGAGGAGGCCGAGGCGGAGTTAAATCTACGACGGCAGTAACAACGCAGTTATATAGTTCGTTTATTCCATTTAAATCCACTAACTCATACTCCAGACTACTTCGAATCACGAGCTACGTACTAAAATATCTTGCAAACCTCAGAGCTAAAATAAAAAGAAAGCCGAAAGCCAAACTCTCTAGTTCAGCATTGTTAGATCAGGTCTCAACAGCGACCTTAGTGAACCCGCGCGACTCTGAAGCAGCTAGACTCCTCTTACTTCGCGAACACTATCGCGAGGGAGCAGCACAGCTTCAAAGCCATGCGAAGGTATTCCAGTTAATCGAAGACAACGGCATATACAAGGTACATTTACGGATGGCGAACGCTGAAGTAGATGCGTTATCAAAAACACCAATACTTCTACTTCAGAAGCATCCGCTCACAAGGCTGATAATTCTCGATTACCATCAAAAACTCTTTCATGCGGGCTCAGCCCATCTCACAGCAGCCTTGCGGAATGACTATATCATACCAAAGATTCGCCGTCTTGTAAACAGCGTAATATCAAAATGTGTCGTTTGTCGGAGATTACAAGGTCGCTCATATAAGTATCCAAATCCACCTGATCTTCCATCTCATAGAGTTGTACGGAGTCGTCCTTTCGAAAATACCGGTCTAGACTACTTCGGACCACTTTTAGTTCAGTCAGAGGCCGGTCAGCTCAAAAAAGTGTGGGTATGCTTATTCACATGCACCGCTACCCGCGCATTACACCTCGAAGTGGTCAAGGACAATTCCGCACCTCAATTTCTCTTGGCTTTCAGAAGGTTTGCAGCTCGCCGAGGAACCCCCAGCCTCGTGCTGAGCGATAACGCTCCTACGTTCAAGCTCGGAAGAGAAGTACTAATAAACGAACTATCTAACTTTAAAGATAACACTATAGTTCAGCAGTTCATGACGGCCAGAAACCTAGTTTGGGAATTTATAACACCACTTTCCCCATGGAAAGGTGGGTTCTATGAACGATTGGTCGGTTCCGTGAAAGCAGCCTTGAAAAAGACACAGACAGACCGTCGACGTTTGGGCACTCCAAACCCTTATGACGGAGATAGAGGCAACACTGAATACGAGACCCATAACACCTGTACTAACAGGGTCATACGATCAAATCTTCGTGTTGCGTCCTATCGACCTCATAAACCCACAATTCCATCTGGCCAACCTTAGTCCAGCTAATACTCGCGTAACTTCTAACGATCAGCTAACTAGTTCAGACTCGCACGAACACCTAATAACTTACTATACAGTTCTGCGAGACCTCCTCGAACGCTTTTGGGATTCCTGGCACAAAGAGTATCTCCAAAGCCTAGCCGAAAAGTGCCAAAAGACTACCGCTCCCAAACAAGGTGCAGCGAGTCCACCCAAAGTTGGAGATGTAGTACTAGTAAAAGACGAAAACGCATCTCGAACTAATTGGCCACTAGGCCTTATTACGGAGATCATTAGTTCAGCAGATGGGTCACCAAGATCCGTCAAACTCAAAGTAGGAACAGGTAAGATCCTAAAGCGTTCCCTCAATCAGCTGATCCCACTAGAAGTTTCAGCGAATAGTTCAGATTCCTTAGCGGCAAAGAAAAAACAAGAGTCACAACCGACTCGCATACAACCGCAAAGGAAAACGAAAGCCTCAACGGCGAATATAACACAATTCACAAATAGTTCATATGATTTACTTACCTCTGTACTAACGAACTTCCTACTTCCATCTCACTTCTGCACTAATCTGCCTGCAATAAACACTAACACGCGACCCTAGTTCAGCTAAACGAGAAATGTAGTCGAACGGCGAAAAATCGATAAATCAATAAAGCGTCAAAATCAAAATACTCAAAATTCATGCGACGGCAATAGTTCAAAGATATACGGTAGCGCGCCAGAGCGCAAGTCGAAGATAGCTATCGATTGCCACGTGGCAACGCCATCGACAGCCGGCGCGCAGCCCAAAATCGTAATTTCGGATTTTGCAAATGACCACATCACCATTTCCCCTTATTCGACCATTTCCACTCATCCTTTTTCGCGCAACTCACTAATCCTACTCTCGTCTACTTACATTCGAAGACCTAGTTCAGAACACTAACCTCTAGTTCAGTTCCAGACAGTGCGTACTAATATTGCAAATCTCAGCCATGAGCGCAAGCGAAAACCGTAAAGAGCTTACAGAGCTCATCCGGGTACGGATTTCGACATACAGTTTGTCTTTTGAAGTGATCATTTAACAGCGATCGAACGTTTAAGTCAGGAGATCCCTGTTAAAGAGATCCATGTTTTTCGAATACTCGAAACTTCGAGTCAATCGATACGAAAACATCAAAAGACAAAATATGACGTCATTCATGGTTCATTTCGATTTGATTTGCATTACGCACTTACACCCTTTTAACCATAACAATTTGCAAGTCAACGTATTTCATGCCATTTTTTACTTCGAAGGCGAGAATTTCATCACTTTTTGATTGATTCTTGAACTAACACACGTAACCAACTAATATCTAGTTCAGCCAGCGAGATTTATTTCTTGCTAAATAACCTTTTTACTCATTTTCCTAGTTCAGCTCGATGAAATTCTCACTGACTTGCAAATAATCACCCCGTAGTTCAGCGTAAGGATTACTAATCCTTACAAAATCAAGTCGTTTTAACGAGTTTGTTTTCTCGAATAACTAGTTCAACTAGTCATACGTTTTGGCACATTGAATTACTCAAATCAATAACCATATAACAGGCCGAAACGATTCTGCGTGACATCAAAGTAACCACTCACGTAGACACTTCGAGAACTTTTGAACTAAAACTCGTTAACTCACACTTGATTGAAATAGTTCAGCTAACGTAACAAGAAATGGGCTCTTTTTCAACGTGTTCCCTTATAGGAACTCGTAATCGACGAAATGACTGAAGAAGAGCGGCAAGAACTCCTGGTAGCTCAGGCAAAAAAGACCTTCCAAAGTGGCGGGTTTGAAAAAGGCAACCCTCCTGATCCAGTGGAGTACCCTCTTCTTCACGAACCGACGTTCCCTCACTTTCGTCAAGAGGAAGCCCGTCGAAAGTTCCCAAAAAGAACCTTCCGGGATAGTTCGTTGCAGAGAGACCCTTGCATCTTCTGCGCAGACTTCGAGCACTACAGTTCGGACTGCCCAGAAGTCAAGGAGCTCAGTAAAAGAGCCGATTTCGTAGTTCAGCACCGTATCTGTAGTAATTGTATTAAAAGCCACTACAGTACGTGTATCCGTAGGGACCCATGTTCGCTCTGTGGTGAAGAAGGGCACCATAGAACTTTCTGTTTCAAAAATCCCTTCATAATCCAAGATATCACTGGCATGTGGCCCTGCGATTTCTATAGTTCATTAGCCTACAGGACCTACACACACCCTCCCCCAAGGGCACCCAGGTACCGCATTTACAGTCGGGCCTACAAGGACCTAACTTTCTCCAGGCGGTCACCAACCCCTCCGGAGCATAGTCCAGAGTCCTTGAGACCCAGGCCACCGTACCTGAGCTAAGCCAGGGAGTGAAGAACAAGTGTCCTGGCACAAGGCTAAAGGTAAGTAAATAGTTCAGCACTAGTAGAGCACAGCTCCTAGATATAGTTCAGCCTTTAACTCACTTATTCATTTATTCCTTTACTTATCAATAACAGTTTTAAAATTCATTACCTTAATTTAGGTTCAGGTACTCCAGCACTTGGGTTCCCGCACCATTTTAAGGAAATTATATAATACAATTTAGTACTTACTAGTT